AGTAAATGATTTTTTATTTAGTATTTCGGTATTTCTCAGACTCTAATATTCCAGAGATTACCTAAGGACAAATGTACCATTAATGATTCTCACAAATATTTTAGATGGTATATGGCTTTATGTGTTTAATTGCATAAACTAGTATTTTATTTATTTGAATATGCATACATATAATTAAGACATGGAAGGAAATGTGTCAGGGACTGAAGTCTGTGAAATTCTAGTATTTACCTGATGAACTAATCCTTTCTAAATCTAGTCATTGGCTTCTTATTAGATATTTCCAGTGTCAACAAATTCACCGCTTCATAACGCATTCTAATATTTAGGATGCTTTCTATTAAGCTGAGGCCTTCCTCTCTTAAAATAGTACCTTCAAGTAAATAAACAAATGAATGGGTGAGTAACCAAATAGAGAGATAGACTAATAAAGTAAAATAGGACAAAAAGAATGTTGTGAAAGAAACCTAATCCCTCTTCTATGCAGCACTTCTTCAAACATGTGAAATCAGGTAAGTCTTGACTCTGTGTTCCCAGGTTCTTCAGTGTTTTCCTAAGACATGGATTTAGTGCCCCCATTCTTCAAGTGAGAGAGAGGCATAGGATATTCCAGATGTGATCTGAGCAGTGTAAAATAGAGATTATTGTTTCTTCATTTTGTGCATGAACTTCCAGTAATACAGCCTAGGACTGGATTAACTTTTTGGCAGGCATTTCCTCATGTTGACTCATGCTAAACATAACCTCAACTAAAACCATCAGGCAAATTTTTCATATATTTGGTATTAAGTCAAACCTTCCACATCCTGTGTTTGTACAGTTCATTTTTGGACCTAAGCATGAGACTTTACATTTATTCCTATTAACTTTTTTATGTTTGATTTGCTCCATTGTTCCAGATGCTTCTGTCATCATACATGTTATCCACCCTTGCAATGTCTTGGCACTCGTGATCTGATCAGGAGGTCACCATCACTAATGTCAATACTCAGCAGGCCAGGGTTAAAAGCAAATTTTGAAGAAAAACTTTACTCTTGCAAGCTTATGTTAATGGAATGCTCATCAGTAATATTTGGGTACAATTATTCCCAATAATAATCCTTCCAGGGTTATGTCATCTGGAATGCTATATATTTCTCTGCATTGGACACAGATGTCATAAGATGGTGCAATTTTGATGTCCAGCAGAATTCCCTTACACTTTGTGAAGTTCAGAGGTTAGAACAGGGGTGTTCAAGTCTGTCAACATCATTTTGGGTTGGATAATTCATTTTTTGAGCAGTGGCTGTCTTGTGCATTGCTCCATGCTTAGGGTCTCAGTACAAAACAGTAGAAAATCCCTCCCATCTGTCCCCATGGAGTTAATAACAATCAAAAATGTCTCCAGACATAGCCAAATATCCCTTGGGAAGCAAAACTTCTGCTGTACAGAATCACCATTCTAGCAACCCCGCCCACCTGTTATGGCTTTTCTTAACCTTTTCATAGGTATAGCTGTGAATGAACTATACATTTATAGTACCCAACCCATTTTATAACAGGAATTGATTATGTTGATAAATTAGAAAAACAATGGGACAAATGGAGAGGGATAATATAATCCTGAAGCTTAGATTAACTCTAAGGTAAAAATACTTAATGGGAAATTGAACCTTCAATAGGGATTGTATGATGTAAGCAGTAATCTACAAAGACTATTGTATCTGAAGCTTATCAAAGCATTTTTTGGAACAATAAAAAATGTAGAAAGACTAGTTGACAATGGAAAGCAAACAATTTATTGTATGTTCATCTCACAGAATATGAGGCAGTGATCAAAATAACATATTTTAAAAACATTAATAACATGGAGAAATAGTTGTAATATAATGTTATAAAAGCAAGATTACATGTATATATATATGGATATCATGTTTTCAATATTGATATGTGGATATCCATATATCCTATATATATATAGATATCAAGTCTTTAAAGAATATATATGCATAGAAAAAAGATGAATATATTAATAATGGTTCTGTGATTAGGATGAAATTAATTTTGGCTTTAATAATATTTATATTTTTTATGTTTCCAAATTTTCCCTAGTGAACTTATATACCTTTATAGGTTTTGTAGCAGGGGATAAGGGTTATGGGGAAAGTGTCTTATATTGGGTTAGGTGAGAGAGCACTGGCCAGGGTTATCACTTATTTACCAAAGAGTGTGTCTATCAGGTAGGATGTTGCAGGGAGGGCACATGAAGAAAAATCCCAATATTTGTTGACTGGGTCTTCTTAGGAATAAAAGATCTGTGCATTATTTTTCATAAAATAAGAACAGTTTAATGTTCCAGCCCCTCCAAGTCAGTGGTTTTCAGACTTTAGAGTGTTGAACACCTTCCATTTATATATTAAACACAGGTCCCTGGGCTCTAACTCCCAAGTACTAATTCTGCAAGTCTTGTATGGAGTTCAAGACTCTCCCTTTCTAACAGGCTCCTCTATAGATTCATTCTGACACAGGTGGCCCACAGACCATATTTTGAGAAACAGTGCTATTAGAAACCACATGGTTTGATTTGGATTTTTTCTGCCTCTATTTTTGAAAATTTCTTCTTGGTCATGCACTTAAAAGAGTTCGTAGAAACCTTCAGTAGTATGTTGGTAAACTAGATCTTTGAACAACAACAAAAAATCCAATGTATTGCATTTGCCAGTTTTCATGTTGTGAATATTACCACCATGGCCCATTTTGAGTCAACCAATGGTTTAAGAAGCAGCTCACAAAATTCTTGGAAGTTTAACAATTGACTCTTATAAGCTGGTACAAGTTTGTTCCAGTACTGTACAGCATATACTTTATTTAAGGGCTTTAAATTGTCTGAAAAAGGGATATTTTAATGAAAAACCATTATTTTACCTATGACAGGATGGAACAAGAAAGCAATAAGATAAACTTGAATCATGTCAAGGAAACAAATTTCAAATGTGTTAGGGCATAAAAGGACATTAATAGCTATTTCCTATTTTACTCTATTTTTTCCTTGGCTTTACCACGAAGAGCAATACGCTTGCTGAGTTCTTTGAGAGCTGTGAATCGGTTTCCTATGGATGATGGAGATTCAAGGAACAGGACTCCAGGGTTGGGAGCAATGCCAAATGTTCAGCCTCTACCTCCACCCTTCATGGACCTCAGCCCCGAGCTGTTGAAATGCCTTGGTCATTAATTCTATAGCACCCAACCATAAAATCAACTGCTTTGACTTCTTCCCATAGCACACAATTGAGACAATGTTGTCTCTAGGAAACCCATATAAGATGTGTTTTATGTGTTCTTGTGTGGGAACTGGCCTAAGTAGAGGCTAACAGTACAGTTTTTCAATATTTTGATCAGACACATTTTAAGAAAATTGGACCTGAAGTTTATATAGTCAGCTATGGTAAATTTATAGTCCTGCTTTTAAGAACAAAAATCCCTCAGGCACCTGCTTCCTAAAGGCAAAACCAGAGAGGAAATGAACTCTTGCTTAAAGACAACTTACCTTATTTTGTGGGTTATCAATATTCTAGCTGGCACATAGTTCCCCAGCTACTAAGAGATAACCACCCCCCACCATCTCAAGCAAGTACTGCAAAAATTGTCAAGTTTGCATTCTAGCAAATGGCTCAGTTTCCCAAAGATGAGGCATGGAAGGCAGAGTCTCAGCTAAGCGAAGTCAGGGAAGCAGCAAAGATCTATGAGGTAGGCTTACCACACAGATGCCTTTGCCAATATATGCATTAGAATCTGAGCCTAAATTACATTTTACATTATAGGATTACTGATTCTTGGGCTTTGGGTGGAGAATATCTTTCTTGTCTTTGGTGTAGCTCTGACAGGTGAATAGTCAGCAACAATGCAAAACACTTGATTTCCTTTTAACTGCTCCGGTGACCCTGGAACTGAGCTTATCACCCTTTCAAAAATGAGAAAAGACTAAATGGCAATTTTCCTCACTATTGATAAAGTCAGCCTTTTCAATGGGAATAGACTATAAGATAGAAGTTCAAAGGTTAACAGTAGATACACTGCTGTGAGCTTGGAAACACAATGAATAGATGTGATTTTCTTAGTCTACATACTAGAGCAACAAAACAAATACAGATCAGACTCTTTAAAAACCTGAAGAATGACTGTAACTAATAAGCAAGTGAAACATTAGAGAAATTTGACGTTCTATACCATGAAGCCAGAATGAAATGCTAAAAATTATATGCTTGTTCTGCCATCACCTCAATCTTTCTACAAGCTTTATTTAGTTGGAAAGGCAAAGAATTTTCAGGAGAAATATGAATATTCAATGACATGTTTCAAAATCAGACATTTACACATACACTTGGGATAAGTGCCAGAGTTAACATCAAAGATATGTGAAGGACCTCTTGTCCAAATGGGACATTATGCTCCTCAAATAGGAGAATTCAGTCCTTGCAAACTGTCATTATTTCAGTAAATGAAGCTGGCCCTTTAACAGATGGGCAACACAATTTTTGGCCTGCTTATAGCTTAATAAAAGACAGTGGCTTTTTAAAAATGAAGGACATGTACTTCTCAAATTACACTACCCAAAAGGATTTGGTAGAATAAAATTAAAAAGGCACACAACAGCCTGTCAAAAATGAGGAACAGGAGATAAGAACTTGATGGTTCCAAACATCAATATCAATATGGCCTTTGGATTAAAAGGAAAAAAAGGCCCTTGTTAAGCCATACGGGGAATGTGCACTGAGGCAGTCAAAGCTGAGAGTAGCATATTATGGATTCACAGATACTGATGTGGTAAAAACATGAAGTCAATTTCTTTTCAAAAATAAGATAAGAATTCCCTAGGAAAGCAGATCATTTTCCTGTCTGATGTCTTTCCTTTTGTAACAACCATTACACTTCTTAAAGTCTCTCCTACTGATTGCTGCACTAACCATATTAAACAGAGACCCCAGACTCAAACCAAAGAAGGGCTCAGCGTTTCTGCTCACCGTTCCCGCTCTTCTTTCATTTTCTCCATCTCTTCTTCTTCCAGGTTCCCTGGTTTCTGTGTACCTTTCTGCTCAGCCTTGCCACTCTTATCATCTTTTTTCTTTCCAAATCTAGATGGAGATGAAAGAGAAAGTTAACAATAATCATGTCATTTTGTGGTTAATTTGACGTATATGTGAGATGGACTCATTAAGCCACAATTCCTTATTCAAATAATACAAAATCAGTTGCATAAAATAGAAGTAAAATAAGATGATAAAAACAGAAAAATAATAGTTACTGAATTCTGCTTTTTCTCTCTCTTTTTCTTTCCTTCTTTTCACTCAGATATTTATTGTGCTCCTAGCAAAACATCATGCAATGAAAAGACAAATCAATTTGAACTATTAATTCAACATAGAGTTGAGTGAAAAACTTTATAATAATCATCAATATGTAGCTAAAAATCTATCAATTTTGTAAACAGGTCTCTGGATCTTGAGGGCTATGGTCATTTAAGGTTAAATTCCTGGAATTATATAATGACAGGTTGCAAGGGACCTTACTGAACACCTAATTCATTGCTTTCATTTTACCAGTGAAGAATCAAAAACCTCTGAGCCTTGGCCAAGACTTCCTACTGGCTTGGGCCAAAGCTGGGATTAGAACTGATAGCTCTAGTTCTGTGCTATTCTGTCCAGACCACTCTCTAATGTAGCCCCTTGCTTGTCAGGTCATTCCAGATTAGTATGTTCTGAGCACCTGGCATATCTGTAATTAAATGGGCACAATGGCAATATCATGCTTTACAAGAACATCGTGTTTCCTCAGCACATTTAGGAAAATGAAACCTGCATGCTTGATTAAATTATTTCTAGGATATATCCTTATGTGACAGGCATCTTTCCCAGTAGATGTTTTCTTCAGATGTAATTTCGTGGTCTTGGTATCAATAACGTGTAAAAAGAAAGAGAATGAATTGATGTTCCTCTAATCACTCAGTCATGCATATTCTTCAATTAAGGCAAAGATTCTTCTTAAATCTATGAAAATTCTATTTCTTTTTGTCTTTTTTTTTTTCAGGACTGGGGTTTGAACCTGGGCTTCATGCTTGCTAGGCAAGGGCTTTAGCACTTAAGCCATGCTTCCGGTCCTTTTTGCTCTGGTTACTGTGAAGTTAGGATCACACTTTTTTCCCATTTTAGTCTGCCCATGATGTTCCTGTTTTACTCTTCCCCTCACCAGTGGGATAATAGGCATGCACCACCACACCAGGCTATTGGTTAAGATAGAGTCTCATGAAGTTTTTGTCCTGGCTAATCTTAAACTGCAGTCCTCCCAATCTCAGCTTCCTAAGTAGTTAGGATTACCAGCACCCAGCCCTTTTTGTCTTATTAAATAGCAGCAAATTTTAACTATGGGCATGTGTGTGCATATGTATGTGTATAGCTCTAGTCTTATCTCTCAATCTGTCTGTCTGTCCATCTACCTACCTACTTATCTAAGTAACTTGGGGAGAGATTTTGAATTTGACATTTTCGGGCTGCCTTATTTCCCCACTCCCACCTTCTCCTGACACATACACAGGAAATTAGAATCTCCTCACATGAGAAGCTGACTTATAAATTATGGAGCAAGTCCTGGACTCTAACCAACCAGAATAATACAAGAATTACAGAATAAGCTACTGCTTCTGTCTTTTTGAGAAGTCAATAAAAATGGGCATACATTCTGTCTTTTTGGATCATGTTTCAATCCAAGCAGACGTTGGTAGTCAAGTGGCAACTCTGAGTATCATACCTGAAAGATGTCGTAGCTAATATTTATAATCCTGCAGTTATTACAGTGCAGATTTAATTTTGCTTTCTCTAAAAGCCTCTTCCACTCTTGACTCTTCTATTTCTCAATTTATAATTTCAATTAACAAGACCTCACTTGTGAACTTTCACTCTCCTCTACCTCTGTGGCCATTCTTTTGCTGTATTCAGTCTAGTCTTGGGAACTTGGTCAACAAATTATCAGTTTTTAACTCCACCACTTAGCTTAAGTCCCTAAATCTATTTTGCCTCCCTTTCTGAACCTATTATTTTATTATTAGTATTATTTTGGTGGTACTAGAGTTTGAACTCAAAGCTTTGCACTTGTTAGGCAGGCTCTTGGGCCATACTTCCAGCTCTTTTTGCTCTGGTTAATTGGGAGATGGAGGTATCACTTTTTGTCTGGGCTGGCCTAGACCGCTACCTCCTATTCACGTTTTCCACAGTAGTTGGAATGACAAGCACACGCCACCTCGCCCAGCTATTGGTTGAGATGGGGTCTCATGAGTTTTGCACAGGGTTGGCCTCAAGCTACAATCCTCTGGAGCTTAGCCTCCCAAATAGCTAGGAATATAGGTATGAGCCACCAGCACATGGCCTCTATTTATTATTATTATTGTTGACTAGATAACCTGACATCATGTATAGAAATAACTAAGGAACAGAGGATAAGTACAGACAAAAATATAAGAACATTAACTTTCAAATATAATTCAGATTTGCTGGTTATTCATTGTAGTGAGCTTTCTCATGAGCTCTGGTTCTCCCTGACCTAACTGGGGGTGACTGGAGATGCAGAAAGGACAAACAATAGAGGACAGACATGCATAAAGTTGGGGTCAGGTGTGCTGGGTGCTCAGATGGAGATGCACAACAGCCTTGTTGCTTCTTTTCTCTAATAATTCTTCTTTTACTTTGCTTCTTTCCTTCTCTATTCTTTAAGACCTTAGTTCTTTAAAACCTTGCTTCTTTTCTATTCTTTAAAGTCTCTTTCTTTAGACTCACACTGTCCCATGTCTTCTTTAGTTTTTCTTTAGCTTAGATTTTCTAAAGCCTATGTAAAAAGTTCTCAGTGCAGAAAGCTGCTCTGGTGGAGATGCAGCTGCCAATCAAAAATCCCCATCAATCCCCCCTCCTCTCCCCCAGTCTTCCTTCAGCAAGTGTTTTATGTCCAGTGGTAAACAAGGAGGTGGAACAATTCTTTGGTAGGGGCGGACACTGTAACAAGAAAAACCTGTGTTCCTGCTTCTCTGAATGTAAACAACGTAGGAAAAGCAGCTGAGCTGCATTTTGCCTCTTGCTTTCTTCTGTGGCTGGGGCCATGCCAAACTCAGCCTGTAGATCATTGAGCACAACTGTGCTTATGTTGAGTCCTCATAGGCTTCTCACAATCCACTTCCCACAACTTGTGACCTCTCTTTAACTTAAAAGTCAAGAGACAGCTAAATAATATTTCCATGTATACATTCTTTAGCTTTTCAGACCTATGCAGAAGAATGTTAAGAATCAACATTATCACTCTAAATGCATTCATTTGAGAATCATTATAATCTCCTACCCTACCACTTAAATAATCATTCTCTTAAATGTCATTCAATATGATAATATTTGGATAAAAATTTCAAATTTGGGGGGAGTCCAAGTAGAAATAATACCTCAGAAATTTGATGAGGTCAAAAATGGTAGCAAAGCTGTAGATGTTGGGTTGCTTTCTCTCCATGTGCCATGTATTTTCTTCTAAACTTGGAGGTTATGGATTTTCTGAGATAAAAATAGTTTCGTTTTTGAAAGTTAAAACTAACCTACTTATAGTCTACCTTGATCTTTATTGCCACACCTCATAAATAATTTTATTCTTCTGACATCTGAAGCACTTCACATGTATTGTAGCTCAAGAATAGTTTACTGTGCTTCCACCACAGTGAAATATGTTCAATAAAGAAAGTGTTACTTTTAAATTCTACAAAGTATTTTCTTTTTATGAAGAACTGTCAATAAGTCAACCAATTCCACAAATTCTCTAAACATTTTGATTTAAAATTCATAATCTTTTATTAAATTTTTTAATAAAATGAACAGAAATAGCTGTAAATTTCACTTTATTAGACAGAATGGTTGCAAATTACCTGATTTTATAAAGTTTGGGTAGGTTTAAGAACAGAATTATAAAACAATAATCTTCAAAAAGATTCTTGCATTGTTAAAATGAGGAAATTGACTCCCAGGGAAGTTAAGTGGATTTTGTTTATGAACACACTGAATTTTTCTCCAGTTTTGAAGTCAGATGACTTAATCATCAGTGGGAGTGGTGGGAGGGGGTGGGCATCAGGAGTAAAGCTTCAGTAACTTTTAGAACCCTTTGTCTCCTTTCCATAGCAGCCCTTTGGAGAGCATTTCATAACCACCTTTACTTATCTGAGATACAGAAAGGAGAGTGGGGGAGGTTCATCCCATCATTTGCTACTTTTGTGAGAAGTGTCATGAGGACCCTGACTGGCTACAATCACTGCTTTCCATTCTAGAGTTTCAAATATCCCCTGCCTTCAAGGGCTCCCACTATCTGTTGCCTTAGAAATTTGAGAGTTGGCCATTCTGTGCTAGGTGCCTTAAAGAAATTGCTTATAGGTCAATCTTGCCTTATATAATAGATATTTTTCTGAAAAACTCTGTGCAAACATATGGTTTCAATCAATAAAATCTTATTTTACATGAACCTGGGTAGCCTGTTTAAAGAAACTTATGATGGATCTTTTTATAAAGTGGAAAAATCACCTTTCAACATTTTCTTTATGTAAATTCAGATTTTCATGAATTATAACTTTCCTTAAACACCTGCCCCTGTTCATTCCCATAGAAGTTATAGGAAAACAGCATAATGGAAAACTGCTCTCTTCTCCTCTCCTTTCCTCTCCCCTCCTCTTCTCTTTTTCCTCCCTCCCTCTCTTCTGTCTTTCTTCTTCATTTCATTCAATAAGTATTTCATAAAAATACTTATTAGGCATTTATTATGCATCAGATATTGTCAGAAGCACTTGATATAGGCTGATATTATGTTGAGATGCAAAACTATACACTGTCCTCATGGAATTCATATTTTTTTAATTTTTGTTTTTGCAGTACTGGGGTTTGAACCCAGGGCCTACATCTTGAGCCATCCCCCAGCCTTTTTTTGTGATGGGTTTTTTGAGATAGGGTCTTGTGAACTATTTGCCTGGGCTGGCTTCGAACCATGATCCTCCTGATCTTTGTCTCCTGAGTAGCTAGGATTACAGGCATGAGCCACCAGTGCCCAGCTGGAATTCATATTCTAACAGAGATGATAGTCAC